CAAGTTTACTACAGAGTAAACACCTTGAGGGGTGGCGTTTTTGTTTGTTTGTTTCTTGCTCTTTCATTCTCAAATAGAAAGTGACTTGCTGCATAAAGTTAGGGACTCATTATATATTTGAAGACAAAGATGTTTTAGAGTAGTATTGATACATCTTTCTGAGAAGAGAAAAATGTTCTATATCTGTGCTGTACAATACAGTAGTTACTAGACACGTCAAATTAAGGAACTGAGGAACTGAATTTTTAATGATACTTAATTTTAATTAACATTTAAATTTAAATGGCCACATGTGACTAGTGGCTACCATTTTGGACAGCACAGTAGAGAAAGGGCTCCCTAGCAGATCTTCAACAGGAAACAGATGGAACACTCAAATTGGAATAATTCAAGGAGAATTCATTTATTAAGAGACTTTTTTTAAAGGTGGGGACAGCTTTAAGGGAGCCACAAGAGTGGGTGCAATTAACTGCGATAGAGACACGGGAGCAATGGTGATGCAAAATTAATGGAATGACTCATAGGTAAGATTATAAGCCTGGATCACAGTGGGACATTATTTATAATATGCAATGATAATTTTAATGAAATTTCATTGAATGAAGTTTATGCTCAGAACTGTACTTTTCTATAAAATCTTTCCTGGCAGTTTATTTACCAGTGAAGAACGTGATTGCTTTCCCTGTATGGTGCTGATCTGGGCCACTTTTTCTCAGTGTCTCCCCTCCTGGCTCTCCACTGGAAGTGGTAACTTTTCCAAACTAGCAGGTCTGTGCTGACTTAATGATGGCTCCTATCAAGGCTTCCCTTAAGGAGCATCCTCTCTTCTGAGCACCTGGAACATAGGCAGGCTCTGACTGTTATCTGTGCTGTGTTTTAATATCCTTTCTTTCCCATCCCTTACCTTAGCACACACAATTCACCTTCAGTCCTAGCTCATTGCTTGATGATTTGTGAAGGCTTTGAAAACAGAAGGAATGAGAGTTTTTAAGCAGGATGGGGCTATTTTTCCTTGCTTTATTTATTTTTATGCCATGCAAAAGGAATAAAGAGGCATAAAATGGCTTGAATGAAGCCAAATAAATCTGGATAAATAGAGCAAGAACCCAATAAAAAGCTGGAGGTAAAAAGGAAGAAAGCTCGGGGAGGAGGAGGAGAGAGAGAGAGGGAAAAAAGAAGGGGAAGCTTTATATACTTCCTGTAATGATAGGGACTGTTTATTATGATCTAGAGAACAAAATGTCTTTGACCCAATGAAACACTTTAAGCTAAGGTTAAGCTCTGGATAGAAATTAGGAAATCATCTTTATAGTCCATATTGAATCTCTTCATGCTGTCACCTCCTGTCATCTTTTATTAAAATTTTGTATGCACTGCTGCTAGCTCTGAGAAGGCTGACACCTTTTAGTTGTTCTGATGAATCATATTGCAGAAGCTAGTAAAGTTTTATGGCCAACACAACAGAAGTCCCTCGTATTATTCCTGATGCCGTGTGTGTGTGTGTGTGTGTGTGTGTGTGTGTGTGTGTGTGTGTGTTTGCGGAGGGGGGAGGGGGAATGCCTCTTTGCTTGTACCACTTCTGCCCCCTTTTGACTATCCCTGATTTCACAACATGGAAAGAGATTCAATCAAGAGTGTGACTGCATGAAACTGGAGAATAAGGTCTAGGTTCTTGAGGTAAAATTATAAACTATCTTTTCTCATTGAGCATCTGTTTATGCCATTGCTTTATATAGCCTTGCATGAACTTTTCACAGTTCTCCACTGCTAAAGTGAAGAATTCTGGGTCAGAGCTGTGAAGGTAGCCATAGCTTTCATCTGGGTAATTTCCACGTTTGCTCTTGCTCTGATCTATAATTTTACTTGCCTTCCCCTCTCTCCCTTCTTCCTTCACTAGACACAGTCTCCATCATACACAAGTTGAACACTCACTTTCAGAAATAACATGTGGTAAAGGGCTTGTAGTTCTCTATAATATCTCCTCCTAGCAAGCAGCTGGAAATATATGGAATCAATTTTTGGCTGCCATAGTGCCTGGGAGTTGTTATTAGAATTTGGCAGATCAGGCCCACGGATGCCAAACATCTTGCAGTGTATAGAATGGCCTCAAATGATGGTGATTTTTTTCCATCCTAAATATCAGTGACACTGCTGCTGAGAAAATATGGGTCTAACTAAGGTTAGACTAAGACTAAGCGGGTACCAGAAACCTCAGCTATTAGAGGATGTTAACTGTGTCTTGAAGGATAAATGCCAAAATCTCCTCCAGAATCTAATGTGACACCTACCTGGCATACAATAGGGCCCTAATAAAATGTTTTGTTTTGTTTTGTTTGTTTTGTTTTTAATTGGGGAATTCGGGGAGGGGAACAGTGTTGGGGAATTGGGGAAGGAGACCAGCCAAGTTGTTGTTCTTCAATCTTTGTTGTGGAGGGCACAAGTTGCCATCTGGCTGCCCGTTGGCAGTTCATGGCCTTTAAGCTCAAGGTACTGTATTCAATCTTAGTTGCGGGTGGGCATAGCTACTATCCCATGCAGGAGTTGAACCAGCAGCCTTGTTGTTAAGAGTGCATGCTCTATCCAATGAGCCATTCAGGCAGCAACTCAGCTCCAGGTGCAGAGTTCAGTCTTAGTTGCAGGTGGGTGGGCATAGCCCACCATCGAACAGGCAGTCTTGCTGTTAGGAGCAAGTTCTCTCGCCAGCTGAGCCATCCTTCCACCTGTTGGCAGCTCATGAGCAGCTCAGCTTGGGCGCAGCGTTACTGGCCCATGTGGAAATCAAACCGGCAACCCTGTTGCTCAGAGCTTGCACTCTTAAGCTAACTCTTAAACACCTGAGCCAGTTGGCTGGCCCAACTATGTTGTGTTTTGAATCAAGTTGTCCATTTATAAGCTAGTCAACACCATTCAATAAGTCCTATGCAAGTTACTTTCAAAAACAGAATATATATATATATATATATATATATATATATATATATATATATATATATATATATATATATATATATACATGCCAATATCAAGATTCTAATAGTTTTGCTCCTTTTCGGCCGGGACCGCCATCTTCCAGGAATTCGTCAAGATGACCAACACACAGGGAAAGAGGAGAGGCACCCGCTATATGTTCTCTCGGCCTTTTAGAAAACATGGACTTGTTCCTTTGGCCACATACATGCGAATCTACAAGAAAGGTGATAATTGTGGACAGCAAGGGAATGGGCACTGTTCAAAAAGGAATGCCCCACACATGTTACCATGGCAAAACTGGAAGGGTCTACAGTGTTACTCAGCACGCAGTTGGCATTGTCGTAAACAAACAAGTTAAGGGCAAGATGCTTGCCAAGAGAATTAATGTTCATATTGAGCATATTAAGCACTCTAAGAGCCAAGACAGCTTCCTGAAACGGGTGAAGCAAAATGATCAGAAAATGAAGGAAGCCAAAGAGAAGGTACTTGGGTTCAGCTGAAACGCCAGCCTGCCCCCCCCCAGACAAGCACACTCTGTGAGAACCAATGGAAAGGAGCCTGAGCTGCTGGAACCCATTCCCTATGAGTTCACGCCATAAATGTAAAAAGATCTCTATTGTTAGTATTTCTCTTCATTGAGAAGTGTGGTGTTCCCTCCCCCAAAGAAGTATTCAAAGAAAAAAAAAAGATTCTAACAGTTTTGTAAGGGTGATGATCATGCACAGAAACAAAATGAGTATATTGGGAAGTTTTCAAAATGCTATTGTAACAAGCAGAGGTGAGAGTTTACTTTGCAGCAGAATTGTTGGGAACTCTTTGTGGGAACCATTGAGGGGGTAGGATTTGAATAGGGATTTTTTTGTGGAGACATTTGCTGAGGTCAAAGGTACATTATAATTAGGAACTTGGGAGAGGAGATAGGAATATTATTACTACAAAGGGTAGTGCTTCAGAAGATGTGACAGAAGACTAAAAAGGTAGATTAGAATACAATACAGATGGTCTTGAACTTCTTGTGAAGGAGTTTTTCCACTTGGAGGTATAGGTTTACGTATGGGTTTAGTTGTTGGAGGTAGTGTATGGCGCTCTGCCTAATGGTCTACATTTTGCCTCAATGTCCTTCTTTATGGAGTTCATGCTCTAAATTCCCTCAGTTATCAGGTGCTTAAACTTGCCTCCCTGATTTTCACGGTCTCCTCTCAAGAGCCCTTTTCAGTTTATTAATTTAAATAGTAGCAATTTTCCTGGAGGTGAATCACATAATGATTTTTCTCAATCTCTTTTATACAAGATATCACTGAAAAAAGTATGATTAGATTCAATTTCAGTTGTCTCCCACAAAAGTAATATGTAGAAAATACCAACCAAGGTGACTTTATGTGCTTAATAGCCTGGAGATTTAGGTTAAGGATATAACAGAGAGAACTGTTCCGCCTAAAGAATGAAAAGGTGTTGCACAAATTATCTTAACGAGCCAAAAACAGCTTCCAGTTCTTACTTGAAACAATTTGTTCTTGGAATATTGTCAGCTCAAACTGTGGTCAACTTTTGCAAATTGTATGAATTTGCACTGCATATTTTATTTAGTGTTTAGCAAAACTCCAATATGGTTCTGCAGAACTTACACAATACACCGTGAAAATGACTTCACAAACTCCCACAGAAGTTGACAGTTTGGGCACCTAATGCTTTCAAGCTAATTGTATGCTTAGTGGTTAAAAAGCCAACTTGTTAAGAATGGAGATCAGCACTTTTGGAGATAATGCTCTGTCTACTGCAGCAATGAATGCAATCCAACCCTGGATCAGAAATATTACAGAAGCTTAAAGAAGAAAATAATGTGAGCTTTAATCACCATTCTACTTAGTCTAAGTGAAGTGCTCATGAATCATAGGCACTATCATAGCAGTTTTGAAACCTATTCTTGAATTTTCAAGTTGTTATTTTCAGGAAATTTACAAAGCAAATTACTAAATGGTAAAGAGTAATTCAATATCATTGCTTATGTCATTTTTTTTTCTCCGTTGCAGGCTGGAAAAAAAGAAAGGAGCAATACCCTGAATACTGCAATAGACAACATATGCAAGAAGACAAGAGACCTTCGCAGACAGGTGAGGAAAGAGACATGGAGACAGAAACACCGTACAAAATGAACCTTGTTTCCATTGCTGGAATATTTATTTCTCATTTTTGCTCTTTTAAAATGAACTTAGGACATAAAATGAGAACAATAAATATATACTTTCCACATTGACACACCTCAGCTGTTTCTGTGACAAACATGAACTAGAAGAAAGGGTGTGTGACATTATCAGAAAGAGTTCCATTTAAAATGCTGACTTTGCCCTCCTCAGCTGTGTCATCTTGGGAACAGATTTCATCTTTCTGAGCCTTTCTGAACCTATGTAATGGAATTGATGATACATATTAGGGCTGTGCAGATTAAATGAAAGCCTATCAGTGCCTGGCACATAGTAAGCTCTTTAGGGTATGTTGGTGAATTGATTCTATTACATTAAAACCTGAGCGTATCATCTAAATGCTTACAGCAAACAGCTAGTAATTCAGACACCCTACCAAGTACCCTTTCAAATTCTTTTCAGGACGCTTCAAAAGTTTGCTTCTGCTTACATGAAGACTACTTTTTAAACTTAGGTCACCAGGAACATAGGATTAAGAAGGATTTCGTTAATAATTTGGAAGTGCACTATTATGCCACAAGTTAACTTTTTCCCCCAGAAATATGAAGACTTTGCTATTTTTAAAGACCTTTGCTTTCCATTCCTTTCTACTATCTAATAACAAGACTTCTTTTTCATGCACAACTTTAATTTGGTCACCATTAACTTGTAAAAGAGGGGCAAAAGCTTTTCAACCATAAGCTTTTAATGCAATATGCTCTTGTAATTTAATGGGAAGATTTAGTAAAGTGGCCTGAGCAATCTTCTAATCCAGAAATAGATTTGGAAAAAGAATAAATAGGGATCCCCAGCCAGTTAATATTAGCCGCGTAAAATACAATTTTGAATGCTGGGGAAATTCCAAAATCTCAACTTCATGGCCTTAATGCTAATTCTATTCCTACTGTCAGCACTAGAATCATGCAATGCAAGAGTTGGAAGGAACTTAGCACAACCTGTCTTATGGTGCAGATGAGAAAGCAGGCCAGTGTCATCACACATCACCTATCTAAGGAGGAAGGGGCATTGGACCAGCACTGGGTCAGAACCTATACTGGACTCAGGAACTTGTACCCTCAGGACTGTCCTCATGTTGGTTGCATGACTTCTGTTCTCCATCTTCTTCAGGATTTCTACCTCATCAGTTCCTCTCAAGACTTAGAAAAGTTATTTCTATAGGCTATAAGCAATTTTGTCTTTCATGCCTGTCTCATCCCTCTATGCCTTCAACAAAGTTATGCACAAAGAGCTAATCTACATTTATTATCTCCAAAGCTTTTGGAATCATTATTTTTATATTAAAAAAATAAAAACCAAAAAACTAAAGATAAAGCAATCCATTATGTGTAGGATTACTAGATTTAGCAAATAAAAGCACAGGGTGCCCATTTAAATTTGAATTTCAGATTAACAACAAACATGTTTTAGTAGAAATATGTTACAGATATTGCATGGGATATAATTATTGCATATTAAAAAAATAGTTGTGTTTATCTGAAATTCAAATTTAACCAGGCATCTTATATTTTATTTTCTAATCCTACTTGTGTTTCTACTTTGCTATCATCAGTAAGATATAGAAGCATTGTTAGGGGGTGTTCCCAACTCGTAAAGAACTACAGCGTTCCAGAGATACGAAAATTTTCTATGGTTTCACAGGTCAGCATCTTCACTGTTTTTGTTAAGCATTGCTACTTAACAAACCACGACAAACAAAAGCAACCATTTTATTATGTCTCATGATTCCATGAATTGGCTGAGAGTTGTCAGGGCCCCTTTTGTAGCATTTTCACTTGTGGTCTCCCATGTAGTGGCAGTCAAATGGTGACTGTGTCGGGGCTCAGAACTGGGTGTTCAAGGCCTCAGTGCTGCTTCTCCTTCTCTCTCTCAGTGTAAAGTCAAATATCCTAGAGGGCTTCTTCATGTGGTTTGCCTCTCCAACAGGGTAGCCTGGATTTCTTTCATGATGGTTCAAGGCTCCAAAAAAAGAAAGATGGAAGCTGTTAGGCCTTCTTTAATGCCTGAACTCCAAAGTCATTAGAATGTTGTTTCCTCCACGTTCTATAGATTAAAATAGTTACAAATCCTTCCCCAGGTCCATAGGAGCAAGGAGAAGCACTATCTCTTGTGGGAGAAGTGGAATGAGTATATAGAAAGGGGTGGAATTTTTAGGAGCTCTCTTTGGACGCATCCACGGTCTTCAGAGTAAGTGAAGTATCTGCTATGATTCATTCCCAGTGTCTTTATTTGCCTTCCCAGGACTTCATTTTTTATACTGATGTTTATGCTTTTGGCAATAAGAAAAACTAGTTTAAACAGTGACATGAGTCACATCCATCTCTTGTTATTCTTGCAAAGTTTATCAAGCAGTTTGCTTTAAGCATCTTATATATACTCTTTCACACGGGAAGGAGAAAGCCACTCCCCTTAAAATGTTTTTCCTTGGGATAGTTAATGTTCATCGCTTGCTCTACATCTGCTTTTGTTTGTTTGTTTTTAATAAAAAAGTAAACAGAGCCCATCTGTATGCCCATTCGTCCTAATCTCCTTGCTTATCAATCAGCAGCACAAAAACATTTTAGCTTTACTTCAGAGAAGCATTGGATTTCATCTCTGAGGAATGAGATAGATTGCATAAACATATCTGGGGAGAAACATTTTGGGGCAAGAAGATGGAACGTCCTAGGAGATGACTTAGTGTTAATTTGCTTCAACCTTCTTGCTCTATGACTTTAATGCCTTTTGTACTTGAGAACAAAGACAAAAGTCCTTGGCATGGTGTTCCAGATTCTCTGTCATTTGGCTCCATCTTAATTCCTATAATTCTTTTTTTTTTTTAAAATTTTTTATGGGGAATTGGGGGAAGGGGAACAGACAAGTTGCTGTCGTTTTGTTCTTCAATCTAGTTGTGGAGGACGCTGCTTCACTGGCCCAAGTTGGCACCATCATTGTGCTCTTCCCTGGCGAGGCAGATCAGTCGCCGGCTTCTGGACGGCCGCTCACTGCGGCTGCTGGCCGCTCACGCTGGCTGCTGGCCGCTCACGCTGGCTGCTGGCTACACATGGTAGCCCATGGCAACCCACTGCCACAGGGGCTGCAGCCCACGCCGTCGCCGGCGACTCATGGCAGCCCAGCTCCAGGTTGAACTGTTGTTCAGCATCTTAGCTGTAGAGGGCAGTGTCACTGGCCCTCATATGTGGGATCCGAACCGGGGCCCTCTGGCATCCCAAGCGAGTTCTTAACCATCGCGCCACTCGGCCGGCCCTAATTCCTATAATTCTTAATGTTTCTTCTCTTTCCATTTTTTTTCTCAGTTCTTCCTCCTCACCACACCAGCACATTAACCTTTTTCTCTAACTAAAGAGTCTACTTGCTATTCACCAAATTTTCCATCACTTTTCTTCCCACTCCCAAATACACACATGTGTCTTTGAATATGTGGCTTGTTCAACATGGTACCTTCCCCACTCTCCTCACTCCCCAACCCAACCCCTAATCAACTGAAGAAGTTCAAGACTAATGTAAATACTACTTCTCCCATGAAACCTTTGCCCTTTTCACTAGCTATAATTAATCTTTTTTCTTCCCAGAGCACTTATAGCATGTGTAGTTCTAGTATAGCAGTGATTATATTCTGCTAGTATTTTTCTTTTTTAATAGATTTTTCTCCCCACTGGGTTTTAAATCCTTAAAATGATAGTTATGACAACACTTCTCATTTAATAAATGCTTTCCAAAGCTCTCTACCAACTGCAGTCCTTACGTTATTGATTTTTATCCCTGAAGCAAGAAATAACATTATAGTATTATTATCTCAGTCTCTCAGGTGAGTCAATTTACTGAACATCACCCAGGTAACTGGTAGAGACAAAGTCTGAGCCCAGGTTCATTCAAACTCAGCCCAAATTTGTAACCACTACCCCATGAGCCAGGGATAATGTCCTATTCACCTTCAGAACATCTAATGCCTAATACACTGATTTTATTACATATTTTTTCTTCCTTATCATTTACTTTATGTTAGCTTTTAATTTAAATGTTCTTTTCCCTTTAATCTCCTTTCCCATTATTCATTTGAGAAGTGCATACCTATTGAAATTCTCAATAAAGGAAGAAGATTTTTTTAAAACTCCTAAAAATTAAAATAATTGAATATATTCTATTTTTACTATATTATGCAGAGTGAAACATACATTTGATTTCATTCGAGTTAAATTTTTTATCTGTTTATATTCTGAAATAATTGTCTATCTCATAAATGCCAAAGAAAGGACTTGAGGTATGTCAAATAAATTAGGATTCTGGTAAAAGCAAACAAGCAAAACAAAAACTTGATTAATTCTTTAGTTGCTGAGTTGATGAATTGCGATATCTGTCTCTTCTTTATGTTGGCAATACCAGTGCCACACTCAGATAAAATACATATGTAGATTTTTATACTTCCTCCTCTTTGTTCTTATCATCAAATAATACTAAATATCCATAAGATACAAGTCCCTTTAAATTGATCTAGTAAGTATATGCTGAACTAATTATTAGGCAATTTAGGTCTTATTAGCCAATTGAGTTTTGAAAGTTATATTTTGCTATTTGACTAAAATTAAAATGGCATTAATATACACAAACCTAAGTTTTTCTAGGTCCCTGAGGATCTAAAACATTTTCTCTTCTTTCTTTTTCCCCTCACAATTTCATTCTTTCTATTCCCTTATGTGCTGGTGGGGGTGGGAGGGCAGGGCTTACTTACAGTTTTCACATAGACTTTTCACTTTGGGATTTCAATTGTAGAGAAATATATTATTTTTTATTTGCGATCTCAAACAACTTATATCAGTGGGAGATAGAAAAATGGATGTCTCGAAGCCTTTTATTAAACTGTAGCGAGAAAAGACAGAAAGCCCCTCAGTTTGGTTTTGTGTCTGACACCTTTCATACAGGTATTTATTAAAAACGCATACCTCTAACTCCTATTGGCCTCCTGTTAACTTCAAATTTTAGTTTTGTGGCTCCTAAGGTTGTCCCATTTCTACATTGGCATGCTGGGTTATTCTTTAAAGTTTTTTTGTCTATCACCCAAGTCAAAGGAATGAGTTGCTCCAGTAGGCAGGAAAATAATATCGAAATAAATAAGATAAAGACTGCTTAGGTATTTACATAGGTATAGATGACTGTACAACTTAAATGAAAACAATAAGCCATATGAATATGTCAGAACACACAAAGGAAATTACTTTGCATAGCATTCAAGGCCCTCGGTGCCTTGTCCCTATCTACATTTCGAGCTCTATCTCATAATCCCCTCATCGTAATGGAGGGAATGGCAGACTCAAATTCAGTGATGTGCAAAGCCGAGTGGTGAAGTGTGATTGTCAGAGGGTAGTTTATGTAGAGTATTGGAATCTGTTACTTGGCACGTGATCAAACAACATGAACGCAAGACAAATGTGTCAATTTTATATTGAATTCCCCTGAAAGTAGATCCTGAGACCGGGGCCTTACAGCATGTAGTTTATTTGGGAAGTGATGCCCAGAAGCAAGTGTAAGAAAATGTGAGGTGTATGAGCACAGGCAGGGAGGGGGGGAAAGGACACACTATTGAGGTTGCCGCTATAGGCAACAGGAGCTGAAGGGACTCTGAGAAGGGACGTGATGCCTCCAAGAATTGTCTGATCAGTGGGTGGAGGCTGGGACTTTTTTTATTCAGTAGGTTTCATTTCCATTGACTGAGGGTTGCTGCCAGTGGTATTGACTCTCCAGAACTTTCCAGGCTATTTGTGCTTGGGCTGAGAATCTCAGAGACTTAGAACAGGCCCTGAGAAAAAATAACAAAGAGAAGCGTGGAATGCACTCAAGGTAGAATGTCTTCAGAGGGCATGAAAGTGCTCCCCACAGCAAGAGCTGAAATCAGAGACTGGTCCAATGGATGAGCTGAAAAGCACAAAAGCCTCTAATGTCTCTGTAGCCATAACTATGAACATGGTAGTAAATGATCAGGAATCAGGAAGATAGACAATCTGGTGAGACAGTTGTGGTTTGGATGCATTCATTATTCTGTTTGTTGTTTGCATCAGCTAAGATACTTTCAAAAAGAAAAATATTTCCCTGCCTGCTGACGGTGCTCTCTCGTAAAGGCACCACTCCTGTCTAACACAAGTCACCTATTTCTGGCCATTTTCGTCTGTCATCTTTTTATATTTTTGTCTTATTTTGTTCTTATTACCTGAAATACTTTCCATTACCTCCACTGCATCCAATGAGATTCTATTTAGGTCCTCACTCTACAAGTATGTTCTAGTAACACTAGATACTTGTGATGTCTTGAGAATCTTTCTATTTTTGTTGCTTATAATATCTTTATTCCTAGAATGTTATGCTTGCCATTCCCCAGCTCCATCCTATCAACATCCTATTCAGCTTTGAAAACGGAATACATACATCTCACCTTTACTGAAGCCTTCTTAACCATGACAATCAGAATAAATTGTTTCTCATTCATTTTCACTTCTTTTAAGGTACTTATCACTGTTTGTGCATTTCTCACTCCCTAATATTACCCTGTCTTTGTCATCCTGATATTCCGCAGGTTACCTAGAATGGGGCACTGCCCTTAGATAGAAAGCTCAAATTGCATCTGTTAATTTGAATGAATGCACAATTACAGAAAAGATTTATTGTGCTCATTATATTTGACGTTATATTATGTCAGGTAATTTCAGCTGATTTTGGGACAGAATTTTGAAGACATTGGCATAGACTTTTTTTGAAAGCTCCCTTTCCAGTCCTTTTGTCTTGTCCTACTGAACATAATACCACATTTACAAGGCACACCTTTCCTTATTTAGTTGTTATGTAGTTAGCAACATGTCTTAGGGGGAAAAAAAGATGTTTCTAATTTAGTTTAATTAAAAAAAATTACCAAAGAGTTCATTTATTTATTCTTTAATTAATAGTAAATCAGTTGTACCTCAAGCCTCACCATTTCAATATATTTTAACACTTGTGTGTGGGATAAAGGATTGAATAATTAGCAGCGAATATACAGTTGAAAACCTTTAAGAAATAATAATAATAATAATAATAATAATAATAATAATAATAATAAATAGAACAGGGGAGTAAGTACCATTAAAATGAAGGGAAGGCAAAAGGAATGCCACTGAAGGGAGGCACAGACCATAGCAAATGCATCCTGTGCTGAAAGAAGATTGCTGTGATTCTTTAGTTACAAAAATGAGCGCGGTGTGAGATAATTGTTATTCTCTGTCTCTCTAGGTGTTTGTATGGTGATAAATCAAAATGTATTTTTTTGAAAGCACAAGAAGACAATTTGACTTTCTGGGTATGGATGTAGATGGGAATAAACATCAAAGTTTTTCGTTTGAAAAGCAATTCCTCTTTAAGTTAAACCTGTGCTCAATATAGTTAACACAAAGTCTTGCTTCTGCATGTCTCAGATTACTAGGAGCAGGAGTTTATTCTCACTGTCTCTACCCTCTCATCTCCCATTCACTCTTCAAACCATAACAAGATGTCTCCTGTTCCCACTTTTCTACTGAGACTGTTCTCAATACTAAGTTCAGCAATTACCTCTTAGTGGTCATATCCAATAGACAAGTCTGGGTTATTTTCATTTAACTTATCTTTAAAATTAGATTCTGAAAACTATCACCTTCTTGAAATTTTTTTGCTGCCAGTCTCCTGGTTTCCTTTATTGTAATATTTAATGACTCCCACTCCTCCACTAGATTATAAAGGACCATGCATTTCCATCTTGACATTTCTCACAATACCTTGCTCTTGGTAAAAGGTAAGGAAGGAATGGTGTTCAGAAATATCTGTTGAATTGAATGAAATCAAACACACAGAAAAGAAGATTCAACAAGTTAATAATGTGGGTCTTATAATTCTGTTCAGTAGGATAGGCTCATTTGGAGAACACGAATACAGAGATTTATTTGAGTTTCTCCTTTAGTTATTGCTCAATTGCTCTCTTTGTTTCTTGACCATCATCTCAGTCTCTTTTAAGGTTTTACTCTTCTACCATTTGCATGACTCCCACACATGGTAGTATTTCGTAAGATTGCATGCTTGGTATTTCCACTGTGCATTTTCTCTCTATGATGTTATCTACCTCCTTGGTTTGAATTGACTCCCATATGTATGATGGCTTTTATTTGTATACTTCTAGTACTGATCTCCTTTTAACCCTCCTTCTATATGTCCTGATTATAAGTGAAAGAAGAAAAGGGTGAAGGGGAGAGATGGTCATTGAAAACTGTTCCCCTTCTGAAAGATTCCTTCAACACATCTTGGAGTTCCCAGCTCAAGTCCTAACTTATGATCTCTTGCCTGACTTCCTTGGTCAAGTCTTTATGAACATAAAACACATTGTTCATTCACTCAAGGTCTTGCCCTTGCCTTGCAACCCCTTTGCCCTCCATACCCAGTCCTAGTAAGTGCTCAGTAAATAAGAATTAGTTGTGTTTGTGATTTGCCTTTCTGCATGCTAAGAAAATTTTTCCTTGGAGATTTCCTATAGCCTTTGTGAAATTGTTGGTAGCCAGAAAATTTCACTGTTCTTCTAAGCAAGCTCTTCTATCTCAGGCAGATGTATTTTTCTCCCAGAAATGTGTAATTATTATGGATTTATTATTCTATAGTTATTGTAGAAAGATAGATCATGCTTTTTTGTTTGTTTTTATGCAGCTATATCATTGAACTCTTTGAAAATATAGTATTAATTCTCCTGTAATACAAAATAGGATAGTATCTATTGGTTTTAAAAAATTCCCTAAACTGTAATTTTTACAAAAGGCAAATTACAAGCTTTCTGTCTGAAAGCTATTCATCTCTTTGTTTTATTGTGTAGAAGTTATTCAATTAGATGAGGGAGTGACCAAAAAACTTCGGGACCATTCATAGTCATTGCCATTGTTAATGAAACATTTCATGATATTATGATCCTTAAGGGCTCGATATTGTAGAAGTACAATGCATTAATTTTCCAATGCAGTTTTAAATTTCAGGAAATATCTGCTGAATAGAGTAATTAGCTGATTGTCATTTATAAGCTTACACATAATCTAATTTAAAAGAACTAATTGTAACAGAATGTTACACTTGTTTAATAATTTAAGGTGTGAGGGCAAGAACAATTAATGCAAATGAAGAAAATTGGATATCAAACTCATTTATTATTCTCCTTGCTCTATTAATCTATTATCAACTGGCATAATCGGTGATCTAACTTGGTTTAATTACCATGGCATCTACAATTTAGCTAATCAAAATTTATCATCAGTTCCTCCAACAAGGTAGAAAACATTTCATAATTTTGTAATTATGAAAATACATGATGTACAATGTTTATACATGTGCATAAACATTACATTAGTATAATTTTTTGAAGAAAAAATAAAGTATTATCACTTACAAACTGAATTCTGTGCTAAGTACAATTTTAAAAAATTTGTGATTTTTTGAGAGCAAGAGAGCTATTATTGCTCAATGATTTTTTTCTTAGATATTTTGCTTATTTTAGCTTTGTGTCATATATACACAGTCTTCAATATTATGATTTTAGGGATTGTTCAAAAAATACATAAAGTGAATTCTGTAACTATTGAGAGTGTAAAAAATAAAAATAACATGAGCTATTTCCTGATTTTATAAAAAGCTTGAATTTTCTATTTCTTCTCAGCTGCGTAAAGCTATTATAGATCATGTGTCAGACTCCTTTTTGGATACAACAGTCCCACTTTTGGTCCTCATTGAAGCTGCCAAGAATGGCCGGGAAAAGGAAATAAAAGAATATGCTGCAATATTTCGTGAACATACCAGCAGGCTTGTAGAGGTGAGTGAGCTAGAATTGTAATTATTCTAAATCTAGAGCCTCATTCTCCATTTACATTTTAATTGTACTTAAGTAAAAACTTGACAACTTGTTACAAGTAAAGCAGAGTTGGTCCATGTTAATATGGAAGTATACATGTCTAACTGGAAAAACCATCCCCCATGCAGCTGGAAAAGGAGTGATTTATTTAGAAAGAGCTATGGAACAATAATCAATATTGTTTTTTTAAGTTCATATTTTTTTCGGAGCTAGACACATATTACTGGTTAAATGCAGAACACTTTGTTGCATCTTTACAGATATTTTCTTCTCATTGGAACTTAAAATTATCAAATCCTCTATCTCATGTCACTTGTTCATTTGTCTGTTTTTCTACCATCTTTTCATGGCTGTATTACTCCTTCAGTCTTTCAAACAATATTCAACAATGTAACGTGAGTATAGAACAAGAATTTTGGATATGCAGGGGTAGAGAGAGATCCAGAATAATTAGGTAGGGCTGGTGAATTGATCCATGTCTTAGTTGGGGCAAGAAGAGATGATAAAACTATAATTCCTTCTTTCTTGGAAACTGAAAACATGGAAATGCCTCATTATTTGGGGATCAGGGTGGCATGTTGCTCCAGCAGCTATGAAGTGCTGGGCGATTCCTAGGAGACAGATAATGGAACCTCTTGTATTATGGGCATAACTCATGCAGCCACAGTATAAGAAAGAGCCTCAATGGAAGAATTTCCAACACCAGTAAGGTTATGATACTCACAAGGCTAAGAACCAGGCAGGAAGGGGGAAATGTGATGGACCAGCTCTGTATACCAGAGGTGATGTATTGGTGGTACCTCTCAGTATGACTGTACCAAATGTTTACGGCTATTGTCCATTCTCATTGTCAGTGCCCATGCCATACTGGGTATTAAATGTTTTGACTGTGACACCTTCCTATACTGGCCATGAACTCTGGTAAAATATGTGTTTGGGGGGGCCCAAATTGCTTATAAAATTTGTGAGTTAGAAGTAGTTACCACCTCAATTAGAATCACTGCATTTGCTATAACATCTGCTTCAATAGAGGACTTTACCAATCTCTTTCATGTGGACCCAAAGGCAAGGAAGTTTCCAACGTAGCCAGCGTTTGCACTATAAGGCCTTTCTGGAGCCCAGTCTTCACATCTAGAAAATGAAAGGAGTAGATAAATAGATGATTACCAAGATCATTTCAGTCCTGAAACTGCCCCACTTCCAACTTTGAAATCTCCTTTGAACTTCCCAAGAATTCTGTGAGACAATTGTTGCAATTCCCATTGGCCTCGCAGGGGAATAAAGGTATAAAACTCAAACCGGGCTAATTAGAGTCACGGCTGATGTCTAGGTTTACAAAACTAATTCTTTCAGTTATGTATTATTTATCTAGTTTCATGTATTCTTTTTTATACTCATTCCTTAAATATTTATTAACTATTTCCACAGGAAAATGTTAAAAGTAAGAGAGCAGAAAGAGGGAGCAGGTTGTTAAAAGCACCTAACTAAGCACAGCCATTGACAGTTGTAAAAATTTTGTCTCAAAATGTTCTCTGAGCTCAAGGCACACCAAATTGTGAAAACAACTTTTGGGGGAAATAGTCTGAAAGTAAAAGTTGGTTTCTGCTAATAAACTTGTATCCCTATTCCTGTTTCTTGGTTTAATTTTTCTATGAAGCGTAAATCTCATGAGGTACTCAGTAAAGAAGGACTCCTTGATCACATAATTTGGGGGGAGATTTTTATCTATTTCTCCTTTTGGACATTTTACATTTCTGAAAAATCTAGATTTAAAGAGACCTCTTTCATTTGTCAGAATTTCCCCAAAATAGTTTACCTAAGCAACTCTTTCTTTTATGACACTTATTTCTAAGGTACTGCTTTCAGAGAACACTTGAAAATACTACCTTAATTTTTTACCAAATGATGGTTTATTATTATGTAGACAGAGCTCTAAGAATCTGTTTGAAATGTTTAAGGATTTTGAAAATTCTGTATTACACGTGAATATTGAAAGATTAAAAGATTTTGGAATTTTGAGCAATTAGGGGAATGGGAATGTGTCTAATTTAACTCTATGTCCTCTTAACATATTATAATAAGATTATGCTAGAGTTGGAGTCTTCTAGTTCTCACTCTGGCATTCTTAGAAACTAGCCTAAGTCATTTTCAGTTCCAGTTAGCTTCTACTGCATAGCAGACCATCCCCAAACTTAGTGGCTTAAAATAACCATCTATTTTTTCTCTCACTGACTTATGGGTTGACTAGGCAGAGCTGAGCAATTCTCCCTTGGAGTCTCTCATGTGATATCTGTCAGATACTGCCTAGGAATATAGCCCTATCAAAGGTTTGACTGGGCTAGACGTGTGATGGTACATTCACATGATTGAAAGTGCATGTTAGCTGTCAGCTGGGAACTTAGCTATGGTTGTCAACTAGAGCACCAATATGTGGTCTCTACATGTGGCTTCAGCTTCCGGCAGCATAGTTGCTGGGTTCTGAGATGAGAAGTCCCAAGAGCAAGCCAGAGACAGAAAGTAGAAACTGACATTCTCTTAAGGCCTGGGCCCAGAAATTGGCAGACTGACACTTCCTCTGTGTTTTATTTATTTATTTTTTGTTTTGTTTGTTTGTTTGTTTGTTTGTTTCTTTTTAGCCGAGCCATCCTGCCACCTGTTGGCGGCTCAGTGGCTGCTCAGCTTGGGCCGGGACTCGAACCACTGTTGCTCAGAGCTCAAACTCTTGAGTGAGCTCTTAACCAACTGAGCCACTTGGCCAGCCCCTCTGTGTTTTATTGATCAAAGCAATCCCAAACACAAGGCAAGGGTGGCAGGTGGGGGCCATGGGGATCCACCTCTCAATGAAAGGAAGAGCAAAGTATTATATTTGTGGCCACCTTCAATCTACTACACTTCTCAGGGCTTCATTTGCTTTATCTATAAAGTGAAGGTCAAACATGATAATGTCTAAGGACACTGCCAGCTTCTAAACTCCTATGATCTAACAAATCATTTTTACAATTGAGAGACTTCCATTTTTCTAAGAGATATAGACATAGGAGAAAATGAAATGTTTTTTAAGTATACTGCTTGCACACTGAGTTCGTTATCAAGACAGAAACAAAAAGAGCATTTATCTCCCAGGAAAATTCTTTTTTGAAAGGAGCTGTCTAACCAAAGCAACAGAGAAAAATCATCATTAATTTATTACAAACATTAAGACAGAAGTGTCCATGACAGAGTCCAGGGAAATAGGAAAGCTCCAATCTATCAGTTTCAGAGGACATTCTGAGTTCACTTTGTATAGATTGCTTACCAATCCTCTACCTCTCTTCTTCCTACCAACCCCCTACACAGACATGCACATGTACCCATCTTATTCCCAGGCCAGGGAATTTGACGTAGCTGGGCAGAAAGTCTACCCAGGAAAATTCTAAATGGCTTCAAGGAAAAGCCATTTTCAACATGTCTGGGTTTTGATACCTTAACAATGGTTGTCAGGGAAATCTAAAATAAGTGAGCTTGTTGAAGTAAGACTTAAATGGCAAAACAAGTCCACTTTTAAAGAACTCCTATCATATCTTTGAAGAAACACTCCATGCTATTAAAGGAACATTTTAGATAATGGCTAACTTATAATTTTTACAAAAACAAAAAAAAAAGATAGTGAAAGTGGAACTGAACACAAAGCAAAAAGAGCAAGCATTAAGAAATTACATGGGTTATAATCAGAAAACCAAAAGGGTTTGGGATATTGGAGAAAACCAATGGGAGTGAGGAACAGGGTGGCCAATAATTAGGCCTGAACATTTCCATTCCTTAGTGGCATCATGTCTGAGGTCTCTTGTTACATTATCACGTAGTCTGGTATAAAATCATAAAATGATCATGGGTGAAATTATGGTTATAAAACCCTGGGTATTACCAATAACTGGAGGACCCAGACCCTTATGACTGATTTTAATTTTTGCTGAACTAAGTAACAATTACTCGTATGTGAAGCTTTTCCTACTTTGAACATTCAAGTTACTCTGTTTTTGGATCCAGCAAGCCACAGTGGGAAGGAGAAGCAGGAGCCCAGAGGTTGACATTTTAAAAATCATCTTCACTTAGTGATTAGCAATTAATGACAAATGTGCTCATTGAATTATGCTTCCCAGCACTTTGATCTTGCACAGATGGTGACTTAGGGCACCATTAACTCTACTGGCTTCCACCAACAATACCTATTAAACAGAAAGTTTAAAATCTTAATTTTATCTTAAAAATGAAAATATTCATTAATTCTAGGAAGTAAAGATCTTATCTTTTGTCACTTTGAGCCTCTTTAAATAGCAAAGGCTTTACAGCTCATGCCCAATAAACCTGTGCCAAATGAAGGAACAAATTCATAACACCAACTCAGCTCTCCTTCTCTCTAAAAAGTTGACTTTGGGGATTTCAGTAACTAGATTTGAGATGTGTGCCTGAGCCCAATTATTTAGTAGAGTATCTCCCTACTCTACTGTTCTTGGTTACTTTAAAGTCATTCTTCACAGTGATTTAGCAAGTGCCTTTGCCATTAATTATCAAAAGGAGACACTATAAACCCTGCTCCAGTTTCTCTCAGAAGGAGTTTGTGACAATTTGATAACATCTTGAAAGAACTTTGTGTACTTCAGAGATGTAGTTTGTAACTTTAATGTGGTAATATAACTATTAATCAGAAGGTGCCATTACCTCCAACCAATGCATTGTTTGTTATAATGGCCATTATTTACTGTTTCTCTAAAATTAATTTTTATAAACTCCACCATTATTTTTCAATCATAGTACAGTTTGTTCTCAGCATGTCAGTTCATGCTGAACACAACTAAAACTGTAAAATTTCCAGTTTATCCCATGGATTTTACCTTAGTAATTATTGTGAAATATGACTGTGTTAATGATCTAGGCCTGAAATTTTTTCTGTAAATCAGAAAAGTTTCTTTATGTGAAAAGCCAGCTTCGTCAGTGCTGTGACT